ACTGTCTCAATTTCCATATCTGGAAAATAGGGATAATGATAGGACCTACACTATTGGTTTATAAATATCAGATAGGATCCTGTGTCCAGAGAGCTCAAAGTAGTATTTGGTACATGTCCAGCAAATATTAGTGGTGACATTAATGTCAAGTATTAAAGTGAGTTCAGACAAAGCTGAGCTGAGACAAGATTCTCAGTAGCTCTCCCTAACCCCAACCTCCATCCTCCTACCATGCCAACTCCTCTCTACCTTCCTACTTCCTTGACTCTTGGATTATTGTGGGAATGACTTCTGAGAATTCTGATGTAGCAAGTAGATTCCTACCTAACCTTGTAACGAAAGTTAGTCTTATGTTGAGATCATTTAACACTGTCTCGGCTGGTTTATAATGTAAACATGCTGACTAGGCTTAGACTCCTCCTGTAAGCTATGCATACACCTTTAATCCCTCATGACCCTTCCTTGTCCCAGACCCAGAGTAATGTGTGTGTGTGTGTGTTGTGGAAATATCAAGCATGGAATATTGCTGAAAGCAACAAATTATCCCATTTGTGTTGCAAACAACCTGTGAGAGTAGATTGATGGTGTCTGTTTGTGGTTGTGTGTGCTGTTCTGGTCAGAAAGGGTGAAATCCTCCAATAAACCAGATTCCTCTTTTTTTCATGTGATGTTTTTTTCATGTGATGTTTCAGTAAAGAGAACAAATCCTTTTGTTCAGGGACACTTTGAAGGAACAGGTTCTTAGAACAGATTGGGCCCACTCTTGGTTCCAACCAATACCAGAGAGTCAGGCTATCTTTATCCAGGCATTGCCATAATATGGTATCTCTTTGTCATAGACTGTAATACAGTTTGGTCATTTCAGCACTTGGTACTCATAAACCTTTGTGCTAACCCTCCCCACCAGCCTTGGCTTTGATTCTATTGATGTTGACAACAAGCTTCTTTAGTTCAGGCCCTATGTGAGCCACCCCACCCCACCCCACCCCCACCTATTGTCAGCCTCCATACCTGATGGCTAGCCAGAAAGACTGTTTGCAGGGGTTACTGGTACAGCATAAACAGGAGGACCAATAGGCTCTTCCCAGTGTACAGGGAGACCTGTGGCCTCTCTGCGTGGAAGTATTTCTGATAGACTTATAAGCTGTGTGGCATGGCGAATATGACCATCTGTCTAAACAGAACAGGAATGGGCTTTGCCAGAGTGGTTTGACTGCTGTAGTAATTCACCAGTGTGAATGCTGCTTTGCCCTTGGTTACGAGAGTTCATTAAATATTTGCAGCCCAAAAGGACTGTAAGTGTGCGCTGAATAATGTAACCAGTGTTTTCAGCTTGTTTAACTAGCCTAATAAAAAATTTAATAAACTCCAAAACCATTCTTATCTCCATAAATGAGGACTATTTGGATTTTATAATGTATGTTTATTCTGAAAGGGTGGGACTATACTTTCCATATAGTAATAGTTACCACAAATCTTGTGTCCCTTCATGAATATTATATAACCTACATAAATATATGTGTGCTTGCAATCTAAATATTTATAAAGACGGTATTTTTTAAAAAATGCTGATAAGGGCTGAGTGTGTAGTTCAGTAGTAGAGCACTTCATCCCAGCACCGCACAAAGAAATAATAATACTGAGAACAAACCATTATCAGTTTTGCTCTCAGTTTGGGGGTGGGCCACAAGGAATGACTACACAGTAGTAAAATGCCCAGCCAATTAGTTAAATTTTTCTCAAGCTGGGGGCAATGGAGAGATGGCTCAGTGGTTAAAGAATGTACACTGCTCTTACAGAAGACTAGACTTCAGTCCTTGGCATCCACGTTGAGCAGCTCACAATTGCCTGTAAGTTCAGCTTCAGGGAATCTGACACCCTCTTCTGGCCTCCTCAGACACTCACACATGTGCATAGACACACGTAAATAAATAATAAAATAAATCTTAAATTATTATTTCTCAAACTGAAGACTTTGAAACCCAGCGTTCTAGAATCCGCAAGCTTGTAGCCAGGGGCCCCCTGTGAAGTACAGAAGGTAACAAGGAGGATGGGTTTCACCTCATTCAAGATGAAAGCACCTCGTCACCACCTGTACTGCACCATGAATTCAACCTAGAAAGAAGCATACCTCTCAGGTGTGTTCTGGCTCAGCAATGGGCCAAAGGGTACGTGCTCACCCAGGAAGTGGAGTGGGCCGTGAGTTATCAGGCAGGCTGAAGTAGGTAAGTCCCAGTAAAGCAGGGGGATGGCTGCTGACCTGCATAAACCACAAAATGAACCTAGCCTGCAGGCGAAACAGTAGGGGCCCAGGAGACCCTACTGACAAGGTATTGATTACTAATTAAAAGCTTTGAGTGGCAGATCCTCTGGTTTGCTGTTCATTCACAGGTGATTATCGCCACTCACCTGGAAATTTGGGAGAATAATTTGACAGAGGAGAGAGAAAGGAAATAAAAGCTATTGTAAACAGAAGGCAATCTAAAAGAAAGATAAAGTGGTTATCCAGTAGCTAATATACCTCAGTGTTAACCTGTCCTCAGTTATAATCAGTAAAGCTCCAGTCGCATAAGTACCAGGACCTGAGTTCAGATCCCCAGGGTTCCCAGCACCCCATAAACAGCCGGGGCTGCAGCCCCCGTAGTGGGGGTGGTAGAGACAGGTGGATCACTGAAGTCCATTGCAGCCTAACCATGTGGAAAAGCCTCAGGTTCAGTCCACAAACAATAAAGACGGAAAGCGATTTAGGAAGACACTGGATTGACCTCTGGCCTCCATACTCCTGCGCACGTGCATATACCTGCACCAACAGGTGCACGTACAACACACAACCACAGTCCCCCGACACCAAAATAATAAAATGTGGAAATGTAGCTGAACCAGGATGTATAATGTCTGAAAAATGCGAGGTGGACCTCAAAGTCCCTGAGATTCTCTTACAGTGGCCACCTTGTCGTTAGCCAGGGAGTTGGTGTCTTTATCTTTGATTCTTGTCTTCTGCAATGACAAGGACCAAGCACTCTCTCCTATTGGGGCAGTCTGACTTACAGAGATGGGACTCAGAAATAACTAAAAGTATGAACTGAAATGACATGCTCAGAGCTTCCTGCCCCTACCCCCAAGCAGTATCAGCTTAACTCCAAGAAGCCCTTCACCCACCCACCTGTGCCAGTGACCCTGGCCCTGAGTTCCTAGGTGCTTACTGTCTAGACCAACATTTCTGCTAATTGCTGTAGACTGGACCCTTGGAGTCAGATGTCCTGCCTATCAACTCTTGTGGAAACCCCTGTATGAGGGATTGTGTTTTACATTGATTTCTCATTTCTGAGAGATGAGCCTGCAGCTCCTTGCTCCCCTGTCCTCACTATCTCCCACCTGAGGGCCCCCTGCCATCTGTTTCTATGTTTCTACCCTAAGACCAAATTCTACTGACATGAACACTGTCAGTTCCCTTTGACCACTGTGACTCACACTACAAATAGACTCTAAGCTCTGCCAGAAGCCAAGCCTCATTCCTTCAGACTTGCTCGCTCCTCTTCTGCACTGACTTTTTAAGCTCCTATACTACCATTTTGCACAAGAAAGTATTGACATTAGCTTAGTCTTCCCACACTGGTCCGATCACCGTGCACTGGACTTCCAGCAGGAAGGATGGGGTCTTGACACTGTATTCACTTTCCAAGAACCCAGCAATGTGTTAAAATTTTTGCTGTATCAAGGAACTCATTGTTGTGTGTTTGTTTACTTGGTTTTGTTTTTGCTTTTTGGAACTGAGATCCCTTCAGGATATCTTCTAGTCTGTTGGATAAATAAATCTCTAAAGTGTTTTTTATTGATAGCAACAAAGGAGAAAATAGAGTGTGGGAAGTCAAGATGCAAAAACATTTAACCAAGAGAAAAGTCCAAAGTTTCGAAATCGTATGTCAAGTCCATCCCTGCTTACTGGAGTATAAATGAAACTGGATTCTTGGCTTTGCCCCCTGGAATTCTGTCCTTGCTTCTTGTTGTTGTTTAAGCCAGGGTCTCACCATGTGGCCCTGACTGGTCTGAACTTATCACGTAGACCATGCTAGCTTTGAACTCACAGAGAGAGATCTGCCTGCCTCTGTCTCTCGAGTGCTGGGATTAAAGGTGGTACACGCGCCACCATGCCTGGCTTTGTTCTTTTCTGGACAATAGTGCTATGTAGCCCAGGCCGGCCTCCAGCTTTCAGTCCTCTTCCTTCAGGCTCCTGGGTGCTGAGATCAGAGGTATAGACCACTACCCCTGATTCTCCTTTGTTCTTAACCCTTGTGTAACCTGTCTCCCTCTCATGGAGTCCTGTGAAGCTGTCTTCCAAAGTGAAGGTGTCAGCCAGCAGATTCACGCCCCATCCCAATATTTGTTTTTAAACTCACTTCCAGTAAGAAAGGAAAGACCACACAGTTATCAGTATCATTCTTTGTATCAAATATAGATCACCTCTGTTAATCAACAAATCATGTGTATTAATTCAAAAAATATTTACCTCGAAGATCTCTTGGGTAACATTTTTGATTTGTCTCTGAAAGGGGATCAAAGGAGCTGTGAGTTGAGGGCCTGAAAGGGAGGAGGGTGAGAGACTTGGAGTGAGGCCTCCCTAAAGGACAACTCACCTTGAAGGCTGGCCCAGGAGTCCTCCTTTACCACTAACATCAGTTGGCAGCCCAGACACAGGGTGAGCGAGAAGTAGAAATTGGAGAAGTCTAGTGAGAGCGTGAGGAAGGCAGGAAGAGAGTTTATGGGGGAGGGGGACTCACTACGTAGCCCTGGCTGGCCTGGAACATGCTGTGTAACCCAGGCTGGCCTCAAACTCAGAGCTATCTGCCTGCCCATGCGCCCTAAGTGTGGGATTAAAGGTGGGCACCGGCACTCTCAGCTAGAGGTTGGGTTAGGGGAGAATTCCTGTGCTCACCAGGCTTACGTCATGCCCTTCCGTCAGCCTGGTAATAACTGGTGCCATCTATTTTATATTTTCCTAGATCAATGAACTGAGCCATGTTCAGATCCCTGTTATGTTGATGCCCGATGACTTCAAAGCCTACTCAAAGATAAAGGTGGATAACCACCTTTTTAACAAGTAAGTACAAGTGCACCCTCTCAGGAGACTTTCATGGCTGCTCAGAATAGAATTTTTTTGTAGCTTTCTGTAATCATAATTTTTTCAATGGGTTGGAGTAAAGTTTTGCTGATGGAGTTGATCCTGTGATAAACATAACCATCTGTCATATTCAGAGAAGCAACAGCAGGCCCTCTGGGATAATATCCCTTTGCCATATGGCATATAGTTCCCTATGAATATCTTATATGTTAAAAGTGATATCCTCATTACAATTTAAATGTGGGGGGTTGTAAATTACTTGGATCTTTTGAGCCGTGATGAACCCCTGCTCTTCTACACAAAACTTGGAAAACAATAGTGCTAAGAACAGACATGACTACATTATAGAACAATAGAGAATTAAGGTATGTTACCACAAAATAGAATTGGATGTCATGTTGGGCACTGCGCATGGTCTTCATTGAAATGACATCTTTGTTGATGCCTATTACTTGTTAAGTGGTCCATCTAGAACTGGAGATACAATGATTTATAAGGCATGGCCCTTCCCTCAAACTGGAAACTAACACATGCACAAATTACTGTCATTCTGCAATGACACAATAATAGAGGGCTATGCATGCATATACCCACAGTTCCTTGGGAATACAAAGGAAAGCAATTCTGCAGGATTGGGATGTGCCTTAGAGAGACCCCTCCCATATCAGGATTAAGTATGAACTATTTTTTCAGTACTAGAACCCATGTAGAACCTAGGGCCTCAAGCATGCTAGGCAAGTGGTCTACCACTGAGCTCACCCCAACCCTCCATGAATGTCTTTTCTTTCTTTTCTTTTCTTTTCTTTTTCTTTTTTTTTTCCTTGTTTTTTGTCCAGCTGGCATGGAACTTGCCATGTAAACCAGTCTAGCTCAAACTCACAGAGATCCACCTGCCTCTGCTTTCCTTCCTGGTGCTAGGATTAAAGGCATGTGCCATTTGTGTGTGTGTGTGTGTGTGTGTGTGTGTGTGTGTGTGTGGTGTGTGGGGGGGGGGGGGATTCACTGTGTCGTCCTGGCTGGCCTGGAACTCACAGCTATCTGCCTGCACATGCCTCCCAAGTGTTGGATTACAGATGTGCACCACCGATCTTGGCTAGAGGTTGACTTTGAGGGCATGTTCTCAGTGCAGATTTAGAATGTGGTCTTGGGTATGAGGACACGCCTTCTCCGCTGCTCTCCATCGTAAGCCATGGTATCGTTGTAGGAGCTGCACAGCTGCCCTTCCTCCCCCAGCTTCTCTGCCTTCCCTTCACTACTTGCCTCTTCCTTGCCCCTCCACCCCTCTTCTTCCTTGGAGAATGCTGTGTACGGGCAAGATTAGAGGGTAGCTCAGTCCCATGTGAGACAAAAAAGATGGTATAATTGATCTGTCTGTTTTGCCTGTGGGAGCTTACTGGGTTGTACCAGGGTCTGTGGAATCCTCCGTGCTTGCTGTGGACAGTGAACTCTAGCCACCTCACTGCTACGCATAGATCTAAGCAGGCAGAGTGGAGCCTGGTAACTTAAGTCTGTCTGAGCTTTATTTTACAATGTGATTGTTTCAGAGAAAACATGCCCAGCCATTTCAAGTTTAAGGAATACTGCCCAATGGTCTTCCGGAATCTACGGGAGAGGTTTGGCATCGATGATCAAGATTTCCAGGTGAGCTGCTTTTGTAACACTTGCTTCAAGTGAGAAATGGGCCTGCTCTGAAAGTGAGATTTGTGTTTTTGTCCTTGCAAGTGTATTTTGCATGCAAAAACTTCAATGTTCTTTCTGAAGTTAAACATTCAGTTATGGGCTCTGGGTGATTATCATTTCAGTGAGAGGTCTTTAGGAAAAAAAGCATTTTCTTTGGAAGGAGACCTGAGCAGTCTTTGAACACTGACATTTCCAGGGACAAGCTTCTATCAGCTCAGCTGCCTTCTGCTTTCTGGGGTCAAGTATGTCCCCAGCCTATGCACGCATATGTGTGTGTGTGTGTGTGTGTGTGTGTGTGTGTTGAATCCACATTTTTCTGTTTTAGCAGAGACCACTTAGGAATCTCAGAGACTGTTTTCTAGCTAATCTGCTGCGTTGCAGGTTGGCAAACTGTCCCCTGCCACAACAACCTGGGCAGACAGCACTTTGAGCGCCACAGTGCTGGATTGTAGAGTTGTCACAGTGCTTGCTCTGGTTATGAGCAGGAACCTACTAAGCCTGGCACAATTCTTGGAGCACCTCCTCTTGTGCTTGCCACGTGCAAATGGGCACACCTGCATCTCTTGCCAGACTTACCCAGCCTTGATTTTAACTCTGAAATGTGATGTAGCTTTTTAGATCCCTGTTGCTGTGATCAGAGAAGGCCCTGAGCTTCAGATAGACAGCAGATGCAGAAGTCCTAAAGGGTTTTTGTTTTGTTTTTGTTTTTGGAGACAGAGTCTTATTTTGTAACCCTAACTTGCCTAGAACTCACTCTGTAGAGCAGGCTGGCTTTGAGTTCACAGAGATCTGCCTGCCTCTGCCTCCTAAGTACTGGGATTAAAGTTGTGTGCCACCATTCCCAGCTAAGGGTTTTGCTTTTTTTTTAAAGCAGAAATCTAAGTACCAACTTGTTTTAAGTCTTCTTAAATGGAATAAGCACTTTCTCTAACTTACCCTAAATTCAAAACCTGCAGTAAGTGCCATATTGCTACCTCAGGTGACCTTTCAAGTGCAACACTGGCTATATTTTCCATTAAAGAATAGGGTCCCTTAGGAAGAACAGCTTGCTAGTGTACCTTTCTAAGGATCAGGCTTCCATTTCCCCAGCTGCTCTACTTGAAAACTTGCAGGAATTTCTCTCATGTTTCCTCAGGCATGAGCTCTTGCCATGCTTTGAAAAAAACAATATTGCCCAGGCCACTAGTGATGACCCTTTATTGTGGAGCAGGGACATGGTCCACGGAGGCCCAGGTTCTAACTGAAACATGGGGCACCAAGGCTGAGGGGCAGAGGGTGTTTCAGGAAGGATATGGGTGTTCCTTCCTCAAACAGCTTTGACCCCAGCATTCAAGTTTGGACTTCTTTGATAAAACAGAATTAGATCACAATTATGGACTTGATGTTTATGGTTGAAAGAATAAGTAACTTTTAAAGAATAGTTGTTAGATGGGTCAAAATGCAAAGAATACGTGGCCATGGGATGCCCAACCCCTTTTGGAACTCTACAATGCAACTCCTACACCTAAGGCTCAGGGAACATTGCAGAAGAGGGGGCAGAATGATTGTAAGAGCCAGAGGACCCAGGACTGCTGCAAGAGAGTGTCTTCTAGACGTGACAAGGAAGCCATATCCATGAAATCTCAACAGTATGGTGGCCTAAACAAGACCTGCACAGTGACTACACCAGTCAATACGACTGTGTGGATGGGGGAACTTTCACAGGGCTCCAGTCCTAGATGAAGAGCAATAGGCCGTCAATGGCTGCTGGGAAAGGGGAAGTTAGTTTTCTCCAGGGACGAAGCCCCTGATAGGGTATCCAATCCCAAATGCTCAGCCCTAAGCACATGTACAAATGAACACCATTAAATGAACTCAGTAGGTTGTGTGTGTGTGTGTGTGTGTGAGAGAGAGAGAGAGAGAGAGAGAGAGAGAGAGAGAGAGAGAAAGGAGAAGTCATGAATTTGAGAGGGAGTTGGGACACCTGGGGAGTTGGAGAGGGGAGAGGGAAGGGCAGAAATGATGTAAATACAATTCTTGTGTATGAAATTCTAGAAAAAAAACGTTAAAAAAAGAATAGTTGTTGGAGTACTAAAAAGAGGGGTTTGTATTAAATACAAAAGGATGATTTCATGTGACTTGAGAACTGCTGCTACATATAAACAGGTCATATAAAAGTGAACCACATGCTTTACAAAGAATCGACAGTAGATGACTCTCACATCTTAAGGAACCCTCTGCCTGACTCTGAGGCAAGCCTGAGTGTGCCCTCCTATAACCCATCTTTCCTCTCCTTTCCTTTTCCTTAGAAAATGTTTGGGAGCTGGGGAGTCAGCTCAGTCAGCAGATTGCCCACCATGCCAGCCAGAGGACCTGTGCTGGAATCTCCAACACTCGTGTGAGGTTGGTGGAGACAGCAGGTCCCTGGAGCTCACTGGCCAGCCAGCCTAGCAAATCCATGAGCTATGGGTGCAGTGAAGACCAGCCTCAAAACATATGGTGAAGAGAGATAGAGGACACCCTCTGTACACATCCACAAACATACACACAGACATCTGCATGCACATGCATACATGTACATACTACATATCACATGCATGTACTGCACACACTCAGATAACAAAAGTAATTATAAAAATAGCTGTGCTGTCATTTCCCAGAAACTGACATTTGAGGGCCCTGCTACAGTGTCTTCTTAGGTTCCTTGGTCCATTACAGAAATGAAATATTTACGTTTCTCCTCATTAATCCTGTTAGATCAAAAATTACCTCATTATGTTCTGAATTCTACACTGCAGCAGAGGAAAGTAGGTTTTTTTTTTTTTTTAATTTTTACGTGTATGCATCTATTGCCTACATGTAGGTAAGTGCACCCATGTTATGCAATGCCCTCGGAGGTCAGGAGAGGCTGTCGGATCCCCTGGGAGTGGAGTTACGGTTGTTAGCTGCCATGTGGGTGCTGAGATTCAAAACCAGGTCTTCTGCAAGAACAACCAGTGCTAAGCCATCTCTCCAGCCCAGGAAAGTAGTTTTTAAGCTTTTCTAAAATGAGAATTTTATTGCTGAAATACTAAGACACCACTTTATCCCCCTAAAATCAGCACCATATAAGCTGATACTTAACTATGTGCAAATCACTTAGTACAAACTCGGAAGGGAAATGAGGCAAGCAAGGGTGATTCACGAGTAACTAATTGGCAAGTCTGTTGAACGCAGAGCATGAGAGACCAGTATGGAGGGAGTCGGTGTGAGAGCAATTAATCGTCCGAACACCCTCCTTCCTTCAAGTCTTCCTGTTGCTTTGAATTGTAAACTGCAGCGTTCTCTTTGATAACTGTATTTCTAATTTCATCTTTTTGAAGTGGGTGTTCAGGGTAACTTCGATAATTTCATTCTTTCTCCATGGTATGTACTTTCTTCCTAAAGCCTTGTCAGCAGACTGGGGGTGTAGCTCGGTGGGGTGCTTGCCTACCATGCACAAGTCCTTGGCTTCCATCCCCAGCAGCAGAAAAAAAATACAGAAGTGGCTGAACCCCAAATTTCAGCTAAAGACAGGATAGTAGAGGTGAAGCTGAATCCAGTTTGTTGACTACTTAAGTTTAGCAGAAAAGAGAATGGTTGTGACCCAGAGGAGTCCAGCCAGCCGGCCCACATAGCTAACATCAGCACGTGAGCATCGAGTGGCTAAAAGCAGCCTCATTTCCCCTCCCCCAGCCTGCTGTGCATTTGCTAGGCAAGCACAGGTTCCTGAACACTGTGTGCTGAAGGATAAAACTTAGGCTATGGTTAGAGCATATGCTTAGCATGTGTGAGGCCCTGGTCCTATCCCCTGTACCAAAGTAAATAGATAAATAAATACATAAATAAATAAGTTGCAGTCTTTTTCTAAGCCCATCCACATGAGCTGCCTGGATACGCCCCAGTTTGACTGGACGTGTTGGGTCAGCAGCCTGGCCTGCATCGTGCTTTGGAGGCACTGGCTTGCTCATAGGGAGTAACCATTGCTGGCTGGGTCTTTCTCTGTGTCTGCATTTTGGACACGTGACTTTAAATCAATGTGGCGGTAAGGAGCAGTATCACCTGGTTTACTTGTGCAGGTACCTTCCTGCTCCACATAAAAAGCAGCGTTGTTTAGCAGAGGTCACTTTGATAAAGTACAACAAAGTGATTAGCCAGCCTAATTGAGCTCTGTCTTTGAACTTAAACTTCTTTAAAACAACTGAAAATCATTCTTTAATAGCCAGTAAACATTTGTGTCCTCTCTCTGAATTTGATTTCTTGAGTGTCTTTTTTAAAACTGAAACTTCAGCCAGGTGTGGTGGTGCCTGCCTTTAATCTCAGTACTTGGGATACAGAGGCAGGTGGATCTCTGTGAGATTGAGGCCATCCTGGTCTACATAGTGAGTTCCAGGCCAAATGGTGCTATAGGGAGACCCTGTCTCAAAACAAAAACAGAACAAAAATACCCTGAAACTGGGAACTGAAGAGATGGCTCAGTGGTTAAGAGCACTTGCTGCTCTTTCAGAGGAACTGAATTCAGTTCCCAGCACCCATGTCAGGCAGCTCACAACCACCAGTAACTCCAGCTCCAGGGCATCCAGTGTCCTTTTCTGGCCTTCTTGCACACACGCACAGACACACACACACACAGACACACACACACACACACACACACACACAAATAAATAAATAAATAAATCTTTAAAAGCTTAATTAAAAAAGACTAGAGAGATGGCTCAGCGATTAAGAGCACTGACTGTTCTTGCAGAAGACCCAGGTTAAAATCCTAGCACCCACATGGTGGTTAACAACTGTCTGTAACTCCTGTTGCTGGGATCTGACACTGTCTTCTGATCTCCTTGGGCATTGCATGACACAGGTGTACTTCCATACATGCAGGTAATACACTCATACATATAAAGAAATTTTCAAAAAAATAAATA